TTTTCAGTTTGGCCATTGTGTAATTTATAATGTACAGAAGAAAACTTGATCAGAAAGAAAGAAAATAAGAGAGACAAAGAGAGAGATGAGGCAGATGGTTGGTGTTTAAGTAAATCATGATCCCTGACAGGACAGGGTCACCTAAAAGAGGTCACACACACATTTTTCTCTCTAATAGCATTATCATCCAACATGGAAGTCACCTTCACACTAATTGTTGCTACCTTCTGCAAAATGCCTTCTGAATACTGTTCATGTACATAAAGAAACCTGCACGTAATATATTTTTCTCAGCATCCATTGCACTCTGCACCATTGCACTATTGTCTACTGTCTACAAATGTTATTGTTTTTTGCTTGTTTATATACATGTATAATTTAGTCAAGGTTTTACATTGAGAGCGTGGGAAAAAAAAAAATGTGTGCACATATCTGGCCAATAAAGTGATTCTGATTCTTTTCAGGAAAAACTGTAAAGCTAATGTTTGTCACAAATCATGAATATATCTATCAGTGTCCTCAAATTGCTCAGAGGACATGAGAAGGAAAAATATAAGCAGGATGTTCTTAGTGAGAGTCAGTGTTTTGAAACAAGAACAGAGATACTTGATCTTAGTGAAAATACAAAATCTTCATCTTGACAGCTTCATTCATTCCCCTTAAAGGGATGAAGTTCTAAACTTCTTACCCTTTCCAAGGGCTGAGTGCTACTTCAGCAGCCTGATGAAGTTCTCTTGCACCATTTACACCTGATATATATGATCAAAGCACCAGGATCTGTTTGAAATTCGCACTTCATGTCATGTTCTCCATGTTTGCCCCTCTCAGATCTCTCTTCAAACACCTTTTTTTTCCTCTTACGTGTCCTCTAACCGACTGATCTAGGTATCTAGGTATTTGTCTGTGCATCACTAAAGCGAAGTATGCATAGGTGTATGCATGAATGCATCAATCATACAAATAAGGGAATTAATGGAAGGCCCTTCACTGTTGGTTAAAGACTGAAAATACCTTCAAGTATGTTCTTTTTTCAGTTCCTTTCTTTCCTTCCTACGCAGGAAGAATATTCTCCCAGGTTTTACATTTTATTCTGTTCATTTTTGTGTTGTGATTTTTGTTGATAGTTACATTTGTTGTTGTGTACTTTTATTTGGAGTTTTTGTGTTGGAAGTGCAACATCCTCTAGAAGCTGGTAATATACTGTATGTAGTTTCAAGCAGTTTTTTTGTTAGGTTAAGCTACTGTTATCTGTATCTCCACAGGGGAAACTCACCAGTTGGTGATTGGAAGCATTGGAGTCATCATCAGGATATGGCTTGGTGACACCCATGGCCACACAGTTGGCAAAAATGGCAAGTAGAATGAAAATATCAAAGGGCTTGAGGATAAGAGTTAAGGGTACAACAGACCTTGTGAATGCAGTGAATCATCCCGCCTACACCCCAACACATTCTCATCAACACATTATACATTTGCATCATATTAAGGACTGTTTGCATAGACATACACAAGAGAAGGATATTTCCACTCTACAAGGGCCAGTGCCGCCATGCGGATGGGGTTGCTGAGGGTGAGGCAGCAGAGGGCTCGGGGGGCCCTGAGGGCGGACTTGTTCGCCTGCATCGCCTTCTTGGCCCCCCCTCCTCTTTTTCTGGCTGAGCCAGTGGACCCGAGGGTGTCTGATTTTCCTCCATCGCCCCCAGGGGGGGCATCTGGCAAAAAACAAACAAAAAATAAATACAGTCATTATGCTATTCTGTGTTTTAAAGCATCTTTGAACATGAAATCTAAAATATGGCAGTGACAACTAAAAGATTTATGGTGTCAATTATTTTATTCTGAGCAAGTAAATGATACATCAAGGGTGTGATAGACGTAAATAGTTATTTGCTAATAGAGCAATAAGTGTGTCTGCATTCCTCTCTCACACCATGTAATTATTTCATTGCTAATAGGAGCCCACATTTTATTATCCTAAGGAGGAAGGGAAGGGATTTGAATCGTGGCTGTAGTAACAGGCAGGTATTCTGTCCTGAAGGCCTCATATTATAAGACCAGATGTGACCTACTTCTTTATTGGGAGCACTTAGCCCAGCACTATCCCCATGTAGGCCCATGAACACCTGTTGGCAATTCCCTCCACATAGAATAGGCCTGCAGTTACATTTTATTATCTCCATATCGCCATGTAAAAACTACAAATTAGTAGCCAATAATATGGGCAGATAAGAGCTTGTGGAAATATTGAATGCCAGTAGTGCATCTTATTATTTTAAAAGGTATAAAGTAAGCTTTTATTTTAACTGAAGCAAACGTGCTTAACTATCAGGATGAGCTATGTTCCGATGTTGTCACCTTAACTGAATATCTGGATGTATTATTTCAGAAAAGATAATCTGCCACCTAGGCCTGCTTTGTTCCATGATTTCTATTCCGCACATACCTTTACAGTAAAGTGAGCCTTTCCCTTTTGTAATGCATTAAAACTTTAAATACTACTACATATACTAATAATATTCTTTCTATTTTCTACTGTGTGCAAACCTCAGAGACATCGGAAGGAGTCCCTACCTTTCTTTGCCCCATCCATGTCCGCAGTTTAACACCACGAAATCACTTCAGAAAACCCACCATCAACTCCTCCTCAGGGGATATGCGATGCGTAATGGATCACAGATATGAATTTGGCCCCCCAAAAGAAATAACTTTCTAAGAGTTTAAAAAAAAGACCATCTGCAGCCTGTCATTTCATATCCACATGCAGCGAGCCGGTGCAGCTGAGAGGCTGCGGGCCATCCTGCTCACCGCCTGCTTGTAGCCTAGAAATCCAATTAATCCAATTTTTTTTATATATATACAAAATCCAATTTCTGGTAATTTCTTTCGAGTGTAAATGAAAAACTGCAATTGCTTTTTATCTAGGCAGGCACATAAAGGTGAGGATTATTAAAACAAACTCGTCCCCATACCCGCGGTGGTCAGCCGTGGGGATTAAACTAGTTGAGCCGTTTAAAAGGATGACAGTGGAAATCTTTCCAGGAGAAGGTGGAGGTAGACTCAGGAGAAACCCTGTGGCTCTGTGGGGTTTTATTGCAAAGTTAAACAGAACAAAAGGGGATATTAAGACGTTTTTGTCAGGATAGAAAAATTAGGATGCCTAACTTAATGCAAGTTAGAGAAACCTATTTCAGGATCGTGGACAGAAGCAGGCGCTGGGTGCAGTACCAGCAGAGAGTCGGCAGGGGGCGTGCTTCCACAGTAAATACCAGGACAGGTGCAAGTAATGATTGCACCAGTTATTATATTACATCACTCCATCATTTGAGGCTTTAAAGCTAAAAAAAAAAAAAACACCACCTCAAGCTTTAAAGGACATTTGATGCCTTTATTTGTTTTTTCTCAACTTTTGCAAGATAAATATATTAAGACAATAGACAAAATAAACATTCTTTCTATACATTGTTTCGAAAGCAAAACACAGTCACACTGCATCATCTCTCCTCTTCTCTGTGCAGATGCTACCATTCTGAGAAAACAGAGAGATTAAAAGTGCTTGGTTGCTCGATGGATAATGCAGCGATCAAAGTGACGAGGTGTGAGAGATAATAACCGACTAACTGAACAAAGTAATTCAAGCCATCATTTTCTAGGAATTCATCCGTATTTTTCAGTATTGAGGAAGAGACATTATTTTTGCTCGTGCTTCTAATATAAGATAAAAACTATTGAACAAAGATTCAAAATTACAAAAGCTGCCGGGTGAGGCAAAGTCTTAATAAAGTGATACTGCAGACAAAGAATGAAATGAGGTTTGCAAACACATTATTTAAAAACATACACAATTCTTTGCATTGATTGTCACAACTGACATTGAATTCAAGACTTTAAAGAAATTAAATTAAAGAAACATATTCTCAGATTGCCACTCCCCATGTTAAAAACTGCACAAACACAGTGTTGTAATGTCACAGACATCTCATTTCTCTTATTACTCTACCTTTCTGCCTTACACACATCACTGTTTACTAAATCTGTGCATAAAATCTTTGGAAGGGAAAAAATTGTTTGGGAAATACGCCTTTTCTCTTTCTTGCCAAGAGTTACATGAGGAGATTGATGCCAACTCCACCATACTCCAGAAAAACACTGCCCCCTGACAAAAAACTCTACCTGGTAAAATATCAAATTGTAGTTTTTAGGTGTGGATTCTGTCTAGTTTTTTAAGGTGTATTTCCCACAATGTCAAACTAATAATAAATAAATGCCTAGATATTGAATAATCAAATTGAATTGCATATTTAAATCTTATACTTTATGATATTTTTTTGGTGTCATTGGACAAAAATGTGATACCTTTCAGCATAATATAGTTCAAGTGGTCAGAGAGAAAACTAGGCTTCTGCCCCTCCTCTTGGCTCCGTTTTCAGGCTTCAGTAAAGCTAGCCCGTTGGCCAATCACAGGTCGTTTCATAGAGAGTGTTTTCATTTTGACTGTTCGACACATGCAGACACTAATGCATGTCCTTCAGATGGTGAAACACTGATTCAGTGGCAGAAAATACTACAATTTGTGATACATTTCCAATCCCTCCTTTGCCAACAATAGTAAAAAAAACAAACAAACACGTATGTCAACATGTCCCGGCTCCACACACAGCTTCGGGCACATTATGTTTGCATCGCCGACACACAGTGGGCCAACGCGAACAGGCCCGATGCCTGACACAACAGCGTTCGCGCGAGCACATACACTTCTTGCGAGGGGGCCACTGTCAGCTCTCACGGTGTCGTGGTGTGGCTTTGGTGTGGTGTGTCGTCGCTGCTGGTGTATCTGTCGTACTCACGCTGCTTCGCGCCTCCGCGGTGTTCTGCTGGCAAACAGCATGTCCCAACCTTAATTGTCTGCGTTTATCAAGAAGGCTTGGAATGGACTGCAAATAGATACGGCGCGTGCCGCCCGGCTCCTGCGATTCAGGGTTTCAGGCTGCAGCAACACAGGTTGCTGGAGGCAGTACTGGACAAGATGTCTGGACCATCCTCTCATCCCACTGTTAGACATTGTCGCAGCTGCCCCTGAAGCCTCGGGGCCCCACCACCCCCTCTGCTCTGGAGGGGAGTCTTTGAAAAGACAAGGTGCAATCACAGACAGAGGGATTGGGGTCTCTGGAGAGCGGGAGCCACGAGGCCTGAGGTTGCCGTTCAAAGGTGTGGGTTTGGAGGGAGGGGCTTAGCAAAGTGATACGAGGCAGCAGAAGGTTGGCCTACTGCCGCTTTAACTCATAAATGTCACAGTGAAGACTGAATAATCACTAATGGAAAATACATTGCATGAGATGCTGGAGGTGCAAACATGAGGTTCGTCAGAAGGATCTTTGTTTACATACAAACATTCACTCATAAATAACTAAAACTGGCAGTAATTTACCCCTGAGGTTTAAGAACATAGTGCAACTACTTGACACCGCTGTAGGTACCAGTATCTCAGTCTCCTGGTGATACCTTCTGCAGCCACTATCCACTGGTCTGACTCACTGTGTCCACAGCTGGTCTCTACTGAAACTGCCCCTTCGCCTCCTGCTGCTGCTGCTGACCGCCATCCTTTGGAGGTAACTGACTGGGGTCTTCTGCAAAAGGAATAGCTGAAGAAAACAAGAGGGAGGTTAACTTTTCAGGTCGCTACGGCAGTATCCTGTTTAATGTAGCTTTTACCATTTATATTTTATTTGTATCTACTGCTGTTGTTTTGTTAGTTTGTGTTTTTAGTATATTTATATTTATTTATTTATTTGTTTTGTGAATACCCTAATAACTAAAAAAAAAGATGTAAAATGTATGTTTCTTTTAGATGCACTTAGACCGTTATATATAGTCAATTTCTGCTGTTCCATTATTCCGTTTTTGGTTAACAAATCAAAATGTCTGCTGTGAAAAAGGCCTATACCTTTCCACAAGTTTCAGAGAAAATGCTACAAGTTGTTGCATCCACTATGTGTAAATTAAAAGAGAGTTTTGGCACCACAGTAAGTACAAGAGCTTTTCCAGTTTACCAGACATGAGAGTCAACTCTTACTCAGAACTCTGCGTTTCTGGTCTATTGTTTATATGTGGTTTCTAAAGAACAAACACCAGACCTTTACTGTACTTTTCAGAAATCTTCTGCTATTACAGACCATTTGAACTCTGCTGTAGGAGCCTTGACGTTATTCACAGAAATATTAAAAATACAGCCCAAAACAACACAATGATCTCTATGTGTTTAAAGTGTCCGTTCTCACAGTGCTGCAGCCTGCCACAGTAGACTACCAGTTACAAATTGTGGTCATCCACTAACGGTTACTATTTTATAGTGGGTCATTAGAAATAATACAGTGAGACCATTTGTGTTCGAGAGGCACTGATGGAATCCGAACTTGTTGTAAAACAATTGCCAATTTACACACTCGGCACATACAGAAAAACATTAGCATTCATTTTGAGTCACGTTTCCGTTCACCAGTGAAAGTCCAATATTCATCCTCTTAGCTCTACATGGTCTACATTGATATGTGGCTCTTAAATTATTTTACTATGTCCACCAGTTAGTTGCAAACTGTCTGTCTGTTGCTGTTTGGTGATGAAATTTGCTATGAGAGAGAGATGAGAGTGAACCAAAACAAAAACTGTGAGATGAAAGATGCTCAGACACTGAGGGGAACTGTAGAGGTGATAATTCACTACGAGTGACACGTTTCACTAGTAATCATGTGATTTTTAATATAAAAATACTGATCATAGCAACTTAAAATATAATTTGCAAAACTCAATCAACTGTACTTACGGTTCTGAAACTGCTGTGCTGTATATCTTGTTAGTAGGATCCCAAAACCCTCAATGAGAGCGAGCAAAATCCCCCCCATCATGGCAGAGCCCACCATAGTTAACGGCCCACCTGGAGAATCACACAAAATTCATTGAGTCACACTAGTTACCTTGATGTGGTCAGGATAACAGGAAGGTGATGTCCAATTAATTGTGCCATACGAGCTTCCTCTTACTGCGTGCTGCTAGGATGGCCCCAGTCAGTGCACCACTTGTTATGGAGTTCCAAGGATCCTCTTTCCCCCTCAAGCGAACTAAACCACAGTCGATTGTGGAGAAGAGCCCTCCCCATACAGCAAAGCTACCTGCAAATCCACCCAAAAGCAGCCAGTGAGTGTTTGGAAGTCTGGTTTAATGTATGATTTTAGCTGTAGGCAAAGAAAATGTAACCATCAGTAATTCTATGAAATAACTGAGCTCTAGCTACTGAAATATAACAAACCATTACTTTTTGCAGGTAAATAATTTAATATGCACAAAGAATGATGCTATTCAACTCCAATATGCAACAAATACATGTTCAGATTCCAAGTGCTACACTGAAGGAAACAATTCATGGTTAAACGAGAAGATATCCTCACCTCCAATCTGGGGAGCTCTTACTCTCACTGCGTTTGCGCTCCCTCTCAGTCTGTGTCCGACACCCTGAAACATTAAAACACTGCTGAAATTCTGCCTTTAAAAACCAAATGAGAATCATCCTTATTATTATTTTTATTGTTATTAAGTATTGAACTCACTGCAGGGGCATTACGAAAGCCCTTGATCGACTGGAACACCCCTCCTCCAATTGCACCCATGGTGAAAGCACCTCCACAGTCGTCCACTATCCTCCAGGGACTGCAGGAACGCATTATGAAGAGCGGGGAAGAAGACATTTTAAAGATAGGATAAAGTACGTTATGTCAAAATATTAGACATACTTAGGCTTTGTAATACAAGGTTTGGATTTTCAGCACTCCAAAGGCACTGCACTGCGAGGCCATTCAAAGTAGTTTATTGTGTCGAGAAAAAAATGGTACCATAACAGAACTCACACTGTGCTATTGCAGTAATTTTAGATAATTAGTTGTTGGTTAGTTCATTGACAGAACATTTGTGACATATTTATTTGAGTCATTTCATCCAAATTACTTTTATTGGTGCTGCCTTATCATATCCTGTTGTGGCGGCATCATACTTACACTGAAACAACGAGTTAAATTAATAATTTCAACAGAATAATGATCTACAACTATTTTAATAATTGGTTAATTGCCCTAATAATTTATTAACATTATTCAGATCACAAATTAATGCATAAATAAGAATGGCTATATTAAACGTGAATGTGAATGTGAATACATAGGGAATTAAATACATAGTCTTGTATAACTGTAGAAACAATTTAAAAAATAAGTTATTCTACAAATATATCAATCATAGCGAGGGATTCTGGCAAGACCCTTGTATATTCCAGTAATATCTATTGTCAATGAGTCCCTGTCCTGGGAC